TGACGCTTTTTTAAAATCGTTTGGAATTACGGAATTTGAAATTTATGCTTTTGAGTGTATGCCTTAATGTGCTAAATGTAATAACGATACTTCTTGTAGTTCTTGTTTTGATGGCTAGTATTTAAATATAGATAATTGTTAAAATTGTGGTATTGCGTAATGCTAAAAATGTAAAGATGGAATTTCTTGTGATTTATGTTAAAGTGGATATTTTTATAACAATTCTTAATGTATTTCTTCATGCCCAAAAGGAAAATATGCAGATGCTTCAACAAGAATTTGTTAGGATTGTAATAGTAAATGTGCAACTTGTTCTAATGCAACCGATTGCGATACATGTTTTGAGAATAGGGTTGGAACTGCTTGTGGATGCCCTGCTTATAACTATGATAATTTGAATTACAGATAAGCTTGTATCGAATGCTCTACTATATCTATTGGATGCTCTACTTGTAATGCTACTACATGCTAAGCATGTTTATCGCCGAATTTTTTAGATGGTAATTCATGTGTAATAACCTGTCCTGCAGGTAAATGGCCAAATACGGCAAACAAATAATGTACAGCTTGCTTATTTAAATGTGCAACCTGCTCTAATGCAACCAATTGCGATACATGTTTTGGGAATAGGGTTGTAACTACTTGTGAATGCCCTGCTTATAGCTATAATAATTTGAATTACAGATAAGCTTGTATCGAATGCTCTACTATATCTATTGGATGCTCTACTTGTAATGCTACTACATGCTAAGCATGTTTATCGCCGAATTTTTTAGATGGTAATTCATGTGTAATAACCTGTCCTGCAGGTAAATGGCCAAATACGGCAAACAAATAATGTACAGCTTGCTTATTTAAATGTGCAACCTGCTCTAATGCAACCGATTGCGATACATGTTTTGGGAATAGGGTTGGAACTACTTGTGAATGCCCTGCTTATAGCTATAATAATTTGAATTACAGATAAGCTTGTATCGAATGCTCTACTATATCTATTGGATGCTCTACTTGTAATGCTACTACATGCTAAGCATGTCTATCAACGCATTTTTTAGATGGAAATTCATGTGTAATAGCCTGTCCTGCAGGTAAATGGGGAAATACGGCAAATAGATAATGTACAGCTTGCTTATTTAAATGTGCAACCTGCTCTAATGCAACCGATTGCGATACATGTTTTGGGAATAGGCTTCCTTAATAATGTGATTGTCCTTAATATTCTTATGATCCTAATATTTTCAATTAAGCCTGTACTATATGTTCTACTTTTTCAGCTGGATGTGTTACATGCAGTTCAACGGAATGTCTTACATGCCAAACTCCTTAATATTTTTAATTAAACTAAAAATAAAATAATGCGATTCATGCTTAAATATAATGACTAATATGCATTTTAGTTTTGATTTTTTAGATTTAATTATAGATTTTGACTATTATTATACTAATTTGTAAATTGATCTTAATATCTCTAATTTAGATTTCTAAAGTTATTCTTCTTAATTATAATTTACAAATTAACTTTGTATAGAAACATTGGACTAAAATTTTATTACTTCTAAATTGTAAGGAAATATTTTATGTTCTTTTGATAGATATTTAAAAACACTTACACTTAAGCTTGATACTGTAAGCACTATTAATAAGGATGATATAATAAAAATAAAACCTGGTGTATTTAAACTAACAAATAATGGATTTGCTTGTACTGATTTTCTTTAATAAATAACTGGAAAAGTAAGTTTAGACACAAATCTAGTTATAAAATTAACTTAAACAAGTCCTATTTCCATATGTTAATAAGCATAAATAATAATATAATGTATTTCTAATTGTGGTAATAAATAATTAAAATAAATTACTTGGTCTCTCATTTCTTCTAATGTAAATACGGTAAATGAAATAAATTTAATAAATATGTAAATTTAATAACAAAATAACTAATACTTTTTATAAATACAGCCTTTATAATTGAAAAAATAAGGATAATACTAATTCTAAGTTGATGTAGTTTCCTAGTTTAACTAAGCAGCAACTGCAAATACAATAATATAAACTTCTTTGTAGGACACATCGATAGACATAAGAGTAAAAACAAATCCAAACTAAATTTATAGAAGTAATTTAGTTAAAGTAAATGTTTATTTTAATCTTTTATAATGTGAAGATGATGGAAAAATATCTTATCAATAAGAAGATGTTTATCAAATATAAATAAAATAAAATGACAATTTAACTGAATCATTAAACATTGATTCCACATAAATTGTTTAAGGAAATTAATTTTAATTTTAAGTTTAACCTTTTATTATGAAAGTTAATAAAATATATAATATATAAATTACAGCTTCTTTAAAAACTAATCCAACTATTACTCAATAAATATTATACCCAATATAAGTTCTTTCTGATTCTCATTTAGTTTAACTTTTAGGAGGAAATAGATAATAATTATATTCTTAAAGTTTTAATCTTTAAGGAAAAATAGATGATCCTAACTTATCCTCTAGTGAAAAAGCTTCATTAAAAGAAACTAATTATGGAATAGATTTAAATTGGAAATGCATAAATCTAAGTACAGGAGATAATTGTAGAGATTCATTAAATAATTTAATTGTATCTACATCTACATAAAACATATAAATTACCATATAAAAAAAAATATTATAGGCTTATTAATAATATTAATTTAAATTATCAGGTACAAAAAATGGAATAACCGTTTTTGATTAAATAATAATATTAATGGTTGATTATGATGTTCCTCCTGTTTATCCTACTATTTCTATTAATAACTCTTAAAATAGAATAAATTTAAATTAAGAAATATTAGCTTAATTTGATTATCAAGGGATTAAAAATGCTGATAACTTAATAATTACAGGAGTTATTTTATATTAGAATCATAAAAGAATATAATATCAATAAATCATAACTAATTTAGATTTTAAGTTTGGGAATTATTATTCGACTTTTTAAGAGAAAATTAAAATTAATTTGAATTAAAATTTTCATTAGAAAATAAATTTTATAGTACTCTACATTAATTTCT